GCAAGAGGTGGGTTTTTTGTTTGTTTGTTTTTGCCAACTGCCCTTCCAGATGGAAAATCTCCCTGGTCCTGGCCTGACTTTGCACCTGGGCCCTGTCCATCCAGCCCCAAGCTATATGGGGGGGGGGGGTAAGGGGGGATTCTTGCAGCCGGTATAATCGGAGAAGGAACATGACACAGGGAGCAGATGGGATGGCTGCTGTCGTCTTCTCTGTTTGCAAAAATGGATTTTCTGGCCCAAGGGAACATGGTGGGCACATGCATGTCCTTTCCTGAACATGTATGTTTCTTTCCAGGTGACTGAAATGAATAAACTGGGTGCCGTGCACTTTGAGCTGGTGTTGAGCGGGCGCTCTTGGCAGCTCTGCTCAGATGGTGAGGGTCTCTCAGCCTGTGTGTTGTTCCATTAAAAAGGTGATTTCCATGGCTGCGGTGTGGTTATGCGTTGCTCTTGTCATTCAGAAGCAGTAAAACGTGGTTTCAAAAAGTCCCCCCCCCACAAAGCTTTTGCCCCTAACCCCTTTTGTAATCTCATCAAACTCAGCAAAAGGCATTTGTTCTGCAAGGCAGGGCTTGCTGCCGCCTTCTCAGCGCCCACCACTCTCCAGGCTCCTCAAGCCACAAAAGGCCTCTGCTTGTCCTGGGGTGCTAACAAAACACTTCTGCGTGTTTGGGTTAGGCAGCAGGGAGTTAATGGGAAAAAAGGCCAAGCCCCCTCCCCCTCCCGCCCCACCAAGGGGAGGAAGGCAGGAGGGGGACCTCTCTTTCCCCCCCACCCCCAATACACGCCTTCCTACAGCCGTGTGGTTCCTGAAGAATGGGCTCATGTGCAGGGCTTGATTCATCAGGGTTGTGGCTCCTCTCTGGCCCCAGAAAACTCTCACAATGCTGTTAAACAAAGAGCTCCTAACAAAGACCAAATTTACACAGTAAAGTTTTCTTGTGGGTCCAGGGTAGAGGCTGGAATGATTCCAGCTTTAGAAAGGGGGAAAGCCATGGGGGGGAGGGCTGGAGGGGGCAAGGGAAGAGTGGGGAATGCATTTTGCCGAGGATAAAAGGAGATGGAGGGCAGCTGCCACCTCCTTAACCTTGGAGCCAAAGATTCCCTGTCAGTTAACCCCGGCCTATTAAACCTCCAGACTTTTCACCAGGCCATGGCCTCTTCTTCTGGAAACAGCAGCTTCTTTGCTCAAGGAGTGGAATTCAGGGAACAGGCAAGTTCTGCCAGAAGATGGGGGCAAGGTGGAGATGCTCCAGGAAGGCCTCCTGAAACAATCCCCTGAGCCCAGCCTGGAAAGGATTCCCAGGCCCAAAACCCAAGCTAAAAAAGTGTGGCTGTCCAGCTTCTATGCAGGCAGTGAAGGGAAGAAGGAAACCACAGCTACCAATAAGGAGGGCCTGGCTCACTGGCAAGACCTCAGGGAAGGGCAAAGGGGGCCATTTCATCGAAATGGGCAGTGTAGGCTAGAGAGCTGCAGCCACAAAGCTCTAACCCAGATGTTGGAAGAAGTGCTGAAGTCTTCCTAAGACAAGGAACTGGGTTCATTGCTCCACTCTGGGGAAATATGAAGCCAAGGGGAACAGCGTTTGGGAGTCTGAGGGGTATAGCCCTGAAACACTTTGAGAAGAACAATGGATTAGGATAGGGACAACAGCCATAATCAGAGGCTTCAGAACAGAGGTGGCGTCCCAGCTTGGTGTTTTGAACAGCTGGTAGATTCTGGAACAAAATACATCTCAGCATGCAGAATTCCCACACCAGCAGAAACCACCAGGTGACATCCCACTCTCCCAATTTTCCCACGAGTGGAACAGAACTGCCATGATGGTGGTTGAAAGGATAAGCCCAATACCTGAGCAGATTTCCTCTTCCGCCAAAAGCTTTGCTTCTTTGAATTCAGTCCTCTTCATAAAAACTAGGCTCAAGCAGAGTAGGTGCTGCTACAAGAGACATGGCCAGCAAGGGATGCAACCCCTTCTGTAGAGCCACAAAAGACAGGCGCTAAACCACCTGGTCTCTGTCCCCATTGTGGTATCTGGGCACTCTTCTTCAACATATAGGTTTTGCATGGCAGGCAGCCTAAAGCAGCAACTAGCAGTGCCAACATCACTCTTGAAAAATCTATGGACAAAAATTAAAATAACAGAAATTACATTTCTGGACTAACTTCCAAAGAAGCAGCCCTGTTCATTTGTCGCAGCACGCTACAAAACAAGGGGCAAAAACAAAGGGAAAATATGGTTGCACTCTAAAGACCAATAGAGGTATTTCGCCATGATCATTTTTGTACCCAAATTCACTTCCTGTGTCTTGTGGATATTGATCCATAAAAGCTTACACTGAAATTTTAAAAGGTAAACTTTAAAGTGCTGCCACATTTTGCTTTCGTTCTTCCAAAGTTTTTCTTTTGTTGACTGAAAAGCTGAGAAGGATGCCTCATTTAGAAGGCACCTTTGTAAGCAGCTTTGAGCACTATCTTTTAGTGGAAAGGCGGAGTATAAATTCAACAAATAAATAAGCAAACAAACAAAAGAGCCGAGAACACTAACAAAGCACTATGAAACAGTGGTATCCACATACACTTACTGCAGGCGGAAGGAGGAAGAAGCAGACATTGTTCTGCCTACAGAGAGTTAAAAGACAAGTTGCTC